CACATACTGACTGATGAAGAAACACGAATTTAGGTGAAAAGAGGAACAGTTTGTACATTGGTTTGCGTTCCGTAATATGAAAGATAAACTATTATACAGGAGGCGAATTTGATATATCGTCTAGAGCTATTCGATGGCAGTCCTAATAATTCCGATTGTTATTTGACAGCTAAATCAAATTATCACTATAGTTCCTTTTAAATATTGAAGTATATAAATCAGTTAAAATATACCAAAAAAATTGTTCTAACAGTAAGAAATTTAAAGCCAAATACATGGCTTTTCCGATTATCAAATAACATGATGCCATTTCGCATTCACACCAACACCACTGGAAAAAAAGAAGCCCGGCTTCCAGGAGCAAAAGCATAGCAACTGACCACCGTGGTGAGAGGCAGCCCTAGCAGTAGAGCTGATGGTGAAAATCAGTCCTACTGCTAGGACTAGACCTTTATGTGGGGCTCATATAAACACCGGTGATTTTGCATTCTCACAACATGAATTTACATTGGTGAAAATCAGTCCTACTGCTAGGACTAGACCTTTATGTGGGGCGCATATAAACACCGGTGATTTTGCATTCTCACAACGTGAATTTACATTTGCAAATTGCCAGCCACAAATTCGAACCTCGGTATTATTGAAAATCACACTTGTGTTTGGTGAAATATTTATAATACCGCTCGTTATTATAAATAAGTTGCCAAACACATATGCTATTTTTCATTAATGCTTCTCAAACTGTGTAATAAAGGAATATAGCAAATGGTTTTCCATGCATGATAGCATCATCCATGCATGCATGTGGCAGAGTGTTGACTCGAGTCAGTAGTGAGAATCAAACCCACTACATCTCAGAGGTGAAAGGCGCTTGCTCTGACAACTGCGTCACCAAAGCCCCCTAAATATCCAGTCATGAAAGTTTGTATTGTGCACCGGGAAATTGGCACAATTTTTGTTCTATATATTTACTATATTCCAATTCTTGATTTTTAAAATCTCGGGTAAGGAGTACAATTTCCAAACGTTCCAGTCAGAAATCTAACTACTGGAAAAGATACATAATTCACCATTTTTCTGTTGCATTAAGAATATTTCCTTCTCTTTCCTGTGATCCTTCGGCTTGACTCTATTTATGTAATATATGCACAAGAAATTATTCTAACAATATGAACAAAGAACAAAAAATACCAAAACAATATTATCCCCGAAAACATTTCTCAATATGCAAATCATGCGTAAATGAGCTACTTGTCATCGCCTTGTTGGATAAATATAAATATGTATATAAGAGTGCAAATAAAGGGATGTGATGGCAAAGGTCCAAGTGGTAAAGGAAGAATGGAAGAAGTGGGAAAATGGATGTTCTGCAGAATTATTATGGAATTGCAGTTAGGGAAAATATGCATGACATAACTGAGATGTCAAAATCTATCAAGGCTTCTTGGTATCATGTTGCGTGGACTGATGCAAATCCTCAGCATCATCTTTGCCCGAAAGGAAAAGACAGCTGGTGTGGTTACCAGAGAGACACAGAAACATAGAAATGACCTTCCAAGTTGCATTGTTGACTTTATTGAGCCAATTTTGATAATCTGAGTGATCCAACTTTGTTGCAAAAATGTACACATGACCTGATGCAAAATGTTAACTCATTTAGTATAGTGTTTTAGTGAAAGAATTTTTCAATTTCATCAAAACGAAAACAATTTAGAGCTGTTTGAATCTAAATATTTTTGGCTATAATGGCCGTCAGCCGCCTGGCACTAGCATTTATTCTGACATCACACAAGTGAGTCGAATCTCTATGGTCTGTTATCTGTAGTAATCAGCTTGAAGAGTTTGTTTGCTGAAGTGTTCAACTTTTTATATTTGCTGATGCAGCGAATGAGCCTGAAGCAAGCGAGCAAGTCAGCAGTTCTAATTCGTATTGGGCTTTGAAAGTAAGATTTTACTTCTGTTTCTCTGACCAGAATGCACTGCTGTTAACTGACCAAAATGCATTTCTGTTAACCGACCAAAATGCATTGCATGCATGATGCTATAAATACAGGGAATCTCATTAGTCAGTTTATATAAACCGGTAACAATGCTGTTGTTTTGGTGTATTTAAGTATTTTGATGGTCTGATGATTTCTGGCTGGTCTCATACACTGTATTCTGGATTTGCTTATTACAAACAATTTATAACGCTTGGAAAGCGATATTTCTGTGTTTGCGTTTATTTCAAGTGTTACTAGGGAAATCAATTTCATCAGTTTGGTATAATTTAAACGGGGTTTAGTCAGTTGACTTTTTCTTTGAATATGATTTGACTATATGGTAATTGACATGGAGACATGGCATCAACAGGTCCACCAACTGCCAAGTATTACTTTAGTATGCTATTTCCAACCTTGTTCCCAGGGCCTTTTCTGAAAATGAGGCGAAGGGAAAAGGCCCTGCCACCGGCTGACTTCTAAAACCACGAATCGTGGTTTTAAATAATTAGTGCAATAATTTCATATGCTAAATATTTTTCCAAGATGGTCCCACACATCGAAGCATTTAGAAAAAATTTGTGTACTTGCAGTGACTTTATAATGTGTTAAATGTTGGAAGTTTCCCTTCATTTTGCTTAAAACCACTCCAAATTAAATATTTTGAGCACATACTAAACAGATTTGATGTTGTTGCTGTTCTAACAACTGGTTTTGGGAAATCTCTTTTATTTCAAATTCTGCCAAATTTCTTGCCGACCAAGACTGAGAATAATATTGTTATCGTAGTTTGTTGTTTAAATGCAATCATCGAGGACCAGTTAAAAGTTGCTAAGAATATTGGTATTGAGGCAGAAGTTCTCCAGTTGGTTGATCATCGCAAGGAAGTAGCAGAAAGTTTGTTTGGATCACATGAAAGAACAGCAGAAAGCAAGGTTGTGTGTTTATTAAATGACAAGCTGCTAAATGGTAATGTTCAACTTGTTTTTACCCATCCAGAAGCCTTACTGAGTGTTAAAGGAAGAAATCTTATAATAAGGTACAGTGTTTCAAAGAAATGTTGTTTGCATGTGTTGTGGACGAAGTGCATTGTGTAGAAATGTGGTGAGTTAAGTGTTTCATACATAGTACACACTGCATGTTGCAGGCCCCGAATTTCCCTGAAATCAGTTGACGGCAATGGTGTTGCAAATTGCCGTAGAATGTAACAGCTGTCTACAGCAATTTTGCAGTTCCACAGCATTTCTTAAAATTAATGTTACTTTGGATTGTTGGCAAGCTAGAAACATGTTTACATATTTCTTTAAGTGGGTTTTTTTCGAAGAAAACTGAGACTAAAATAGTAATTTACACATGATTTGATCAACATCTGAATTCAAGTATGAAAATATAGTAATGCACAGTGAATAGTATAACAGTTATAAACCACAGCATTTTGTTCTCCCTCTACGACAATTGCCGTGATAAAATTCAAGCCCTGGCATGTTGCCATGTTTACATACTGTATCAGTGTATGGAATACAACTTGTTTTGCCCCAAGTCATTTCGGCGCCAAGTTGTTTTGCCCCCAAATTGATTTGCCATCAAGTCATTTCACCCCCAAGTCATTCGATATTTGTTTTGCCCCCAAGACATTAGATGTCTATTATAAAAAAACTAATCAGCTCATCAATTGCTGCATTTGATCGATTGTAGAAAATGAAACACTTAGCCCTTGTTCCAGGGCATGAAATAACAGCCGGTCACTGATAAATTATCGGCAATAAATTGCTTATGATCAGCAGAAAAGCAGGGTTTCCAACCTGAAAAATAAAGAAAAGTCATGACTGCTTATCACCTTATTCACCATGATCGGCAACTTTGGGAATGCTACAGTATTTCAAGCCCTGTTGTTCTTGTATACGTTTTTATATATTTTGCAAAAAAATGTTTATCGCTTAAAATATCAAATATGTTTTTTTTGGGGGTGAATCAACTTTGACATCTATCTAATGACTTGGGGTCAAAACGACTTTGATTATTGAATGACTTGGGGGGCAGACAACTTGGGGTGAATTTGACTTGGGGACAAAACAAGCAAATACCAGTGTATGATACACTGTGCATGCACGTATAGTGTATAAATATATATTGTATTTATTGAACATAATTGATTCATCAGGGGTATTTTAGGTTTTGGGACTTGGGTGGGGGGGAATTCCTAGCCTGCGAACAGGCTCTCAAGCTGAATTGAGAGCCTGCATCGATGACTAATGAATTTGGATATCTGCCCCGTAACGTTTGTTTTTCCAAATATGGAATGTCTATCCTTATATGGTGTTGTTTACAACTTTCGTGCATACTAAATTTAGACCGTGCAAACTAAATTTAGACCGTACAGTTTATACTGTTTTTCAAAATATAAGATATTCAAGCAAAAGTTCAAATGTTTTAAATACTGTTTTCTCAAAACAGAACATTTCATGCTTTGAGATAAGATGGCCAAGACCAATTTGATCAGTTAATGTGTTTTTTTATACATAGTGCTTCAGCAGTTGACATATATAGAGCTCAGCAGAAACATATAAATTATAGCATCTGACCAATGAGAATTTCGCGTCACGATTTGAGGTGCAGATATTCAAATTCATTAGTCATCGATACAGGCTCTCAATTCAGCTTGAGAGCCTGTTCGCAGGCTAGGGGAATACCCTCTCCTGTAGTCACCCATAAGTCATTTCCTTTGCTCATCTATTTTCAAGTGACTGAATATAAATGATATCTGAGTTAATTCACCAACTGCACCTCTAAATGCTTGCCCAGTTTTATACTCAAGGTTATATGCCAAGTTAGTCGCCACTTACCAGTTTAATATTAATTAATGATATTCAATAGATTCATTCCCCATTTTGGGAGGAAATGCTCCTCCCCCCAGAATTTATCTATTTTCATATTTGGGAGGGGGCAGGATTTGGAATGAAGCAATGTAAAACAATTGATTATTGATAAAGTTATCAAGTGAAATATTTTTTTATTTTCAAGGGGTAATGAATTCAGAACAGATTATAAAAGTTTGTCCACCGTACATGCATTCTTCCCAGATATTCCCATTCTTGCACTCACAGCCACAGCACCTCCCCACCTGTTGAACGACCTAAAAAATAGCATGAAATTGGACAGCTCCTGTAAAGTTGTAACAGCTAACCCAAATCGAAAGAATATATTTCTTGCAAAGAAGATGCGAATTAGCAATCACCATATATATGAAAGCGACAGTGATATCCTTCTACCTATTGCTAATGAATTTTCTGATACACTCGAAAAGTATCCCATGACAGTAATATACATGAAGTTAAAGTACTGTGGTTACGCATTTGGGTTGTTTGAAAGAGTGTTAAAGGAGAAACAGTATGTGGGGGAAACTAATGATGCAAGGTTATTTGCACAGTTTCATGTGCCCCAAACAAATGAAATGAAGAAGAGTATCATATCAGAAATTAAGAAACGAAACTCACGAATAAAATTTATATTTGCTACGTCTGCTCTTGGAATGGGAGTTGATGCACCAGATATAATGCATACTATACACATTACACCTCCAAGTAGTATTGAATCCTGTGTCCAAGAAATTGGCTGTGCTGTGGTCGTACAGGTCAATTGTCAAGTGCTACATTATGTTATAACAACTCGGACATTAGATAACCTGAAACATACAGATAAATCTATGAAAGAATACTGCCAATCGCAAGAGACTTGCCTTCAACAACTCCTCCTGAATTACTTGGGATTTCCATGTGTTAAGCAAGAGAGATGCTGTTGTGTTTGTGAAGAATCCAATCCAAGTGCTGTCTGCAATGAACCTATGGAAAGCAGAGAAAAGGTGAGATTTTTAACAACTACTAATACTATCGTTTTGCAGAAACTTATTCTAAAGGAAATCCATCAACTCGAGGTTGACAACAGCAACAGTACAAATTTGATGCTGATTAAATCTCCAATACCATGTCAAAACAGTCTCAAAAAGATCATGGCCGAAATTGAGTACATCAGAGTAGAGTCAGATCTGCTAGGTATCTGTGGTATCTGGGATGAAGAGTGCTTTTCCAAAATTTTTTCTCTCATATCAACATATGCCCCTTTGCGTTACATACATAATATAGTGTCATGTTTGCAGGCATTCAATTTGTTCGCAAAGGGCCATTAAAACCCAATTAACCTATATCTCACTGCATGTTTATTTACTTTAATATGGCCCAGCCTTCACGAAAAAATGGAATACCCCCAAACATGGAATTGCAAATAGTAATACCATAAAAACAGGTGAACTCAGGCCTCAAAATAAATTTGGACATTATACCGGTCATTATAACTGGTGGATCACTAAATTTACCAGTCACAGCGGAATTTATGCCGGTCATTGTCACTCCTTCGCTTCTTTTTCCCCTCATCTTTCGTGTGACTCCTAACTTTGGAAACAATTGTGTATTTCAATTGTATTTGTATATAGTAAAAGTGTGGTGTTTCATTAAAGCTGTAGTAGTGATCATTACTAATAACATTAACATTGTTTACTAGCAAATTAATATATTATTAAAGTTGCAAATGACATCTGTAATTTGAGTTGCAAGCATGCTTTAAGGCTGCATTTCAGTTACACGTTTTTCATATGTACGTGTAATACGTGCATGCACGCAGGTAAAAGTTGAAATCGCTTTACATCCTACTTGTGAAATACCTAAATTTATAAAAGGACAGCATTCAGTTTTGTGTATGATTTAATGTGTATATGTTAACGTTATTTGCACTTATATGAAATTTTAAAAGATTTAAACTTTTCCATCAAAATTGGAAATAAAAAATCTGTTCCATTTTGAACATACTTTTTTATTAAAAAATTTACTGGTCATGCACGCATGTCCGCCAGGCGCCGATATTTGCCGGTCAAACTGTGTTTACCAACCAGTGACCAGCACTTATTTCGAGGCCTGTGTGAACTATCTATTTACATTTAGTCCAGCTCAATTCAGGTTATTTAACAGAATGTTTGGCCATCAGGCATTTCACTAAAATAGCCCTTACTACAGTAATTCACATTTTATTATGGTATTTAATTAAATAAGGACAATGCATGATAATTGAATGTTTCAGCAAAGATAATTTATCAATTGATTAGCAAGAGTCTCCCTTAAAACATGAATAAGAGTTGCATTAGACAGATTAACATAAAGAAGCATATTGGCAGGCACTTACCATTATCTCTTTAGTCCCTTCTTGTGTTTCTCTATCCACCGATGGAATTCAACAACATCTAAATTATAGCAGGAAAGCTTGTGTGTGATCTACCAGGTACTTTATGGAAAGGGTCAAATTTAACTAAATCCGCAACCATCTCTTTTTCATCTACCATTGAGTCTTGTGTTGTGTGTTGTGCAGAAACCTTGTGGATGCCAACAGTTCCATCAAATTGTTCTACAACCTGTTTAATGCCATTTGTTGCCTTGCAAACTTTACTGATTGAGCTTAATGTTTTGTTTGGCCCCATTCTCTGAACAATATTTTTGCAGAGTCTGTTGCTTATCCATGTCATCTTCAATATTTTTACCCCTTCCACTTCTCCAGTTGACAAAAAATCCCCATTTGAATGCTTCAGCTAAACGAGGAGTTAACAAACACTCTATTTGAGCAATGCTGACAAACATCTCCAAAGCATATTTGCTATAGGACCCCAAGGATTTGAAAACCATTAACAATAGTTTCTGATTAATTAGATTTCTTTCACCGTCTGCCTCTGCTGCTGTATCCTCCAGTTGTAATATGAGAGATGGTGAAAAAATATGGCACAATGCATAGTTTTGAACATTATCTTCATTCAATCAATCAATCAATATTTATTAGCACCTGGAAATTTACGTATAACTCTGTTCATTAAATATGACATAATATAAATGTGCAAGCTAACTGTAATAACCTTTTAGGGTTAGACGAGACAGTTAGCTTGTAATTTATTAAATCAAGTGGTGAGAGAATACTTTTATATAATGTAGATATGTTAAGTTATTTTCCATACTAATGAATTTAGGTAAGATTGTCTTGCAAGTGGGTTGTTCAATAAGATTGTCTTGCAAGTGGGTTGTTCAATAAGATTGTCTTGCAAGTGGGTTGTTCAATATCCAGTTCAATATCCAGTACAATATCCAGTACATCAGTACATGTATTCATCATTCTTGTATTAATCTCTAAACAAAAACATTTATATTAGAAAGCAAAATGACAATGTAATGAGGAGGGAGGGTGGGGATTCTTTTATTAGCATTTGAAAATGGTTGTAACAATTTTGTTTAATTAACTCTAATGTGCAAAACCAAAATGTATATAAAGTATAATTTTAAGTGATGACATCTTTCCCTTTGCTCTATCACTACATTTGGTGACAACTTAGTTGGATTCTTGTTTTGAACCACGCCGGGTCAGCAGAAGAGCTCAAGTGGCATTTAGGAGACGACTGTTCGTTTTCGAAATGTCAGCGGTCTACTGCCAAAATTTTCAAGATGGCGGAAAAGTCTGAGCAGAAATATTTTACATCTGATGAAGTTTTACAAAATATATTGGCTGATGAG